CTATCGTTAAATATGCTATCTTGTTTTAATGCCACGTTTCACCTCACCCCGTTTAGGGCGCATATCGTTATTGGCGTAAATGCCGTTGTGAAACGCCTGGAGGATAGTGCTCGTGACAATTCCTATACCACCACAGACTTCGCGGTCGTCTTCCTTGATTTCGCCTGGCTTAACTCGCAGCTGGGACATCACCTTGCACACCTCTGCTCGACAACTCCACACACGAGTCTGGTAGCAGTCTCGCCACCAGGGAAACTCGCGCAAATCCTTTCCTCTCCTAAACAAACATTTTCCAGGGTTAGTTACATGCATACAAATTGTATTCACATTCCTATCAGTTTAGTCGAAAACTTTACGTTCAACTAGTCTGTTCTTTTGGGCATACCGGATTCTCTTGGTGTGATCTTAATCCTGGCTGATGTAACTGTCCTCAGTGTGCCTATGGTGTCTTTAAAGTTTTTGGTAGATTGCAGTTGAAACATGGTCACTCATCATTAATGCTCAATCACAATTAATAGGTTAGTTTATATACGATTATGAAGGGGCCTGTTCTGCAAACTTCTGTATATTTTCCTTACAGAACATGGGATCTATACTTTCCTTAGGGAGCTTTTCGACACATGAAAGGTAGAAGTACACGAATATCTCATAATAAGTGTGATCCACCCCTGTTTCTTGATGATATAACTCCACCTTAGGCTGGTTCAACTTGGGCCCGTGTCTGCTTTGTTGATTCCGTTTCAACGTTTGAGCTAGTCCATTGCAGGTCCCTGTGGCGCGTAATGGGGGTAGACGGTGTGCCCACAAAATCATCGCCATAATCAGGGCCTGCTATCGCTCGACCACTATGTGAGTCCTAGTTACCCACCATCTTAATCATTCGATATCCGTTCTGCCTTTCGACAAGGTTTTAGCCTGTTACCCATTCTGCTCGACCATGTCAGTAACGAGATTCTCAAAAGAACCCTACACGTGTTTATCGATGTTTATGTGCACCCGGGCGCCTGTTGACTGATACCAATTAGAGTTGCGAAAATTCCCATCAAAGAACTCAGAAGGGCAGTTAGCTAGCATACGTGTACTTCCGATAAATTATCATCTAGCCAATACATTTCCATGGACACGGGGTAGAAGTTAGGCATGCGGTCCATAATGTTCGTCTTTTCATGTGAGTCGCGTGAATAGGTGGGGTTGATAAATGGCAGGCGGTCGTGAGGGTTTGGTGGAGTCGTTCCAGGCAGGGATAGCAAAGAAAAGCACATGTGGTTAAGCGGCCGTGGGACACGCCAGGCGTGGAGCTTGCAGGAGGTTTTTTTATGCACACAAGACCGGCTTTTCCAACCTGATAGCAGTCGCCTTTGCTGTTGCTAGCTTAAACTGACCCAGGGACTTGGCTGTCTTGCAAACGTATTGTTTATAACTAATCTGTCAGGATATCCGTTCTCGTGTAGAGGTATCGCGAGT